CTCCTGAAACTGCGCAAAAGTAAAAAAAATACATCTAAAGGTAGTGCCCTTCTTTGGTAAACCCGCTTTCCTCTCAATGGCCTTTTCAGGCAGCCTTATCTGTGCCCTGCCAAAGGAATCCGGACACAATGCAGAATGGAAAGTCGTAGAATTGGCAAGCCCAATTCTGCAATTCTGCCCAATTCTGCCAAGCTGCAGGACCATCGTTGACGTGAATAACTGCTGGGATACATCGAGGCATACTATCAAATACTGTAGTTCCTGAATGGATTCTAGTGAGATCCCTCCTTCATTTCACCATCACGAGTTTTTGTAGTCGATGTTAATTAGAGTGCAATGGAACTTGCCATCGAGTTTTTTCTCAAGATATTCCCACAAGTGCCTAATCAAGTTGAAGTGAGGGTTCTACGCAGCCAATGCAATGGCAATAGTTCATACCGTGATACGCAGACTGCGCACTGGTACTTTGTGGCAGTATGAGAGGGGGCATAGTTCCACTTGAAAGGATACACCTGGTCGCTGACATAAAACTCCACCATAGCCCTCGTAACGTCTTCTGCCATGGAGGAGAATCCCACTGGAAACATTGAACCGCATGCCTCGACGTTTCGTAGAAGTCTTTCACACGTGGTGGCCGTAAACAATACCAGGCCTGCTAAAATTACGACCATACGGTGTCCGGAACTTTCGAAGGGGCAGAGCACATAAGTCGTGTTCATGTGGAAAAAGGTACCGTCACATCGCCCCCACGCGGATTCGTGCAGGAGTGATCTGTCATCATATGTGATGTGAAGAGGCATCTCGCCAAAAAGCCTACAAAAAAAAGTATATGACGCAAACTGGCGGTGGCAGAAAGTGTCCGTCTGCCTGCCTGCTGGAACGGATGACGTACCGGTGAGACACATGCCAACAAGACTTCATGTCGGAAGACACGAGTAGATGACTTGGAACTAGATGGGGTTTCCTCAGCCATGAAGCATGCTGCAAGACCGATACTGCGGCTACATCAACCCCATAAGTGGAACTCCCTTATTTCGACACGAACGCGGGCATTCTTGCATGAGCTCATTGATTTCGCACAAAATGCGGCATGAGCTGGGTATAAACGCTGAATTCGACGTGACTTCCATATCCGTGCTCTAGTAACAACAGAATGGAAGCAGAATAGCCCTCAGCATGTAAACGAGGCGGAATCAGCTCAAAGACGAGAGACACGAATCCCATGTGGCCCTAAGATCTATGTTTACGTTCAATGTCTCATAACTTCCTGCGATGCTTATGACGACTGGAGAGAACGAGACTCGTTGTCGTCCGAGGCAGTCATCTCGACGAGAGAGGCCAATTCCCAGCACGTTTGGGAGAACCACTATATGAAATTGCGACCGAAGACTCCGGCACGAGCGATAAAAATGGGCTGGTGTAACCGGGAAAATCGTCGGATTCCATATAACGTCTGAGTTAATCTGTCGGGACAAGTCAATGCAACCGTGAACGTCTCAAGACTTACATCGTCCAGCTGAACAACTAATACCGTTGTTTTCCGAACCGATGCCGAACGACTGGGTAGAATACGGCTTGTGGGTTATGTCAGGGCCAAACAGGAACTTTCACCATCAAAACAGAGGCGGCCTAATCCCCACATACGCGTTGGTCAGCCGATCGGACCTTTGGAGTTTTTAATTTTCTCGATAACAGGCGATCCCAGCATAGACCTCGAAGCCCTTCCATCCCTGCACTGAAAATTTGGGAGAATCCATTTGCAAGGATCGATATAACTGACGTCACGGTTGGGGTAACGACCATCCCTGAACCAGGTCATCAGTTGAAAGGAATGCACTGCAGCCTACATAACGAGGAGATCTGGCGGGGGGGGGGGGGGGGGGATCGATAGGGGGGTGTGGGGGTTCGCTTAATTTATCTCGTGCCGACAGGCTCACAGGCCTCCGGATCCAGGCTGTCTCCTCCTCCTTGCTAAAGGATCACTAGCCCTCTTCGCTCGGGGGACAAAAAGGGAAAAGAAAGCGGAGGGTCGGTGAGGACGGCCCTTTTTATCGGGAGGAGGGCAAGAACACCACCACTTTCCCTGTCAGTATTCGGAAATCGATGGCGAGAGGCAGGTGCAATGAGTACAGAGGTCTAATGGGGAGGGAGGGATGAAGGGGGGGAGGCCGGATCCCTCACGCTCACCTTCTCTCTGGCAGCTCATCAGTCGCATCTCAGGGTTCAAAAGGTCACGCTGGCAAAACTTTATCGCCAGATAATTGCAACTTCTGTTCATCGGGTATCCATTGTACGAAGTTCAAAGCCGACCGAGATGACGGTGACGGCCTAAGGCAAGGGGATCCAAAGGGAGATATTAACAGATTTCCGTGATAGACTTCAATTACCATTAAGTTCTTGCAAATCCTTCACCTTTTGCCGAGCGGCATCAAAGTTCCTTCAAAAAGTTCCAGAGGAAAAGTGAAGAAAAAATCGAGTATCCTGTATTCGCGTGGAACTCATTAACATTTTCTTCGCTGAACGCGGTCAAAGTAAACAAGTTCAAGGGGCAACGGGGCAGCGGTTCCACGAACTCAATTAATTATGTTAAAATGTTAAAGCTGGAGATTTTGATGAGCTCGAAGGCAGCTTGAAAACAGGCCAACCTCGAAAACAAGTTTATCAGTTCTGGTTCTCGGATCGCGTCGACTGTGGATTCGGTTGCATGATGACGCCAATTACTACATTCCCAGATTCGACTAAATAAGGATGATAATATTAAGGCTTAATAATGAATTAACGTGTTTTTGTTGGACACGTTGCTGCTTTTTTCGTCTGCATGTTCTGAAATTTCCTGTTGCGTCAAGAAGGCTGACGCCAACGATTTTCGAGCGTCGGAGTTTGCTGCTGCCTTTGTAGATTACTCATGCGACCTTTTCAACTATTTTAAATACAGGAATTCCTTTGTGCATAAAACTCCAATTATAAGTTTGCTTTTTGTCGGATGCAGCGATACTACCGTGGCGAGATGACACCATAAGACGGAATTTGCGAATAAGAATTATGTGTTTAAATATATCCACGAAGGTCTGGATACTTCGTTATGTAAGTCCTTAAGCACAATTAAGTAAAACGCGTTTGTATCCACGGACATGAAAGGATGTCATTTTAAACTGTGTCAGGTGAATTAATTAATCATTTACCCCTTTCGTGGCTACAGGGTATTATGCAGAACTGCTGGAATAGTGGCCTCTGGAAACTCCATGGAAACGTGGACATTAATACATATGATTAACTTGACGAATGCTGGCATTAGCTGGAAACTACCATTTAAGGAATTATGGAACTGATGAGGGGATTCCAGTGCAAAGAAATATGACATGCTAAGAATGAAAATAAGTCACTTCGCTGCTTTCAAGTCAAACTAAGCAAGAAACTTAAGTGCAAACCTGACCTCGTAAGCTTGACATCTGCACATCATAACGCCATTTCACAATTTTCATCAAAATTTCAGCGGGTTGCTAATCTTCCCCTGTAGCTATCCATAAAAAACTGGCTGCATGATATGGTTTCAAATGATGCACTGGTATGACATAACTGCATTCTGAGTCTGACTTCAGAATGGGTCCCCTGATTGTTCTAAGTAATTGATTGCCATTTCCCTATCACAGGACCGAAATTAATGAACGCGAGGGAAAAGAAGCTGAAGACCTCGGACCGTAGACAAACATCATTTCTGCAAACCCACACAGGATGGTAAATTTCTCCAGCGGAGTTCGCACAGCAGTAATACCATCGACCGATTACCGATTGCTGTCACGTCGCATCGAACGTACTTTTTGCCGCATGAAACCTATCAAGAAGTCCCAAAATAAACCCCGGAATCGCTAGTCTTTAGTTTATTGATACCCCAAGACCTCATGCGACCTTCGAGTCCAGTCTACGACTGCCACTCAATTGTCAAACCGTCCCCCCCTCCCTTCCCTCTCCCTCCGTCCTGATTTATTCCTCTTTTTTTTCCCTCTCTGGGACGCGTTGGGCAGTCCCTGACAAGACAAAGGTCTGCATGGCAAAGAGAAACTGGAATATCGCTTCATGATCACTGAATACACAATGTATCGCGCCGTGCAGGTCTATAAACAACAAGAAAAATACATGAGTCTATGTGACCCTCGTGACACGTGCGAATCTGTCTCTCGATATGGGAGACGGAAGATGTGACGGAAGGTGTGGAAGATCCGAATTGAATACGAATGACTCATAAATAATAATTCTCAAAGGAAAGAAGTGATTCCTAACACGTGAAGAGAACTCGATATTCGACAAAGAAAGCCCTAAGTCGACTGAGTTTGAAATGACCGAGGTTTCGTCAGTGTCCTTTCCAAGCAACGACCGGACGAGTTAGCCACCGAATCTCTGTAAACTCCAACTCGGCAGCAAACATTCGACGCAATCAAAATCCAAAGCAAATACTTTACTCCGAGTTTTCTGGCCGACGAAAGGCACGAAACCTCACGCAAGGTGACCCGCACAGCCGAGAAAGTTATGCAAGGCGCCCATTGCGGCATCGCCCCACATCAAAGTCACGAGCTCGACGCTAATATTGGAATTGGCATGTTATCGGCATACAACTCGATCCTCATGCGGGAATCCGGACCCGCGACGCCAACGAGCCGAGGTCGCACACCGTTTCGTTTACGCTGCTTTTTTCCGCTCATGCGCGACCGCCCTCGTTCTGTTGCATGTCACGTTTTCTACAGATCCGGGAGAGAAGGTTGGTGGACCAGACCTCGAGGGAAAAGGTACCGACGTGGAGACATTTTACACGAGCGCCGACGTATAATCGCACGAAGAACAAAAGATAATGCGGACTTTGTTCGGGGAGACAAAGGGGCGAATGATTCTCCGCATCTCCATACAAACGAGAAAATTCCCCTCACCATACGGAAGGCCTAGATTTAGAGGCCTTCCTTACGTAATAAAAGAAACACGGGGATGGATGGGGGACTGCTTCGAAGAACTCACCCCTGTCGGCCATATCGTTCGGGCCAGAACCGTTCCCAGAAGGTGCTACGAGTTTTCACCCGCAACACAGACGTGCTCAACGTCCGCGGCAATTTCCCTTGCGGGTGGCTGCCGTGATTCGTCACGTTCGTTGCGTTCGTCGTCATTGTCGCGAGGGTCGTCGTGTCGACTTCGGGGGACTTTTTCCGCAGCGGAAGCGGGGACTTGTTGCGCTTCTTATGTATCCCCATACCGTGGGTCGGCCGCGATGGATCACTCGAGACCACCTCGTCCGGTCTCCCGATCTCACATGACTCCACGCGGGTCACGGTGATCACTGTGTCGCGAGGAGGGGGTCGGCGTCGCACGGAGTCGCTCTCCGGTGGAGACGCGATCGTTGATCCTTTTTTTTTTGCCCCTCTCAGCACCGAGGGGCAGAGATGGATCGCACTGACGAAAACGACTCTTTATCTGTGCGAAGGAACATGCATGGTGGGGAGAGAAGAAAGGCCTTTAGTGAGCATCGTTTTATGGACCTATCTTCTGATCCTTTGAGGATTGATAGGAAGCCTCAGCCTTATCTCGAATTTAAGCCAATGAATGGTTGAGATATTATTCCTTCCTCGAGGAAATTAATGAGCTCACTTTACAGGCCCATATCGTAATTTAAACGACACCACTTCTCACGGTTCATGTAACTCATTTTAATATTTTATCCTGTCCTCCACCGCATGTCGCAAACGTGCGACGTCTACTCTCATTTCTCCAGGAATAATCCCTCGCTGGGCAATTAAAAGGCATCGTGCTGATCCTCGGATCCGCGGAGATAAACACATTGCCCGATATCGAACGCGCTGAGCTCTCCTTCAGCCCTCCACTCGCATCCACAACGCACAAGGATGGGCGAACTCCGAGAACCAACTTCGAGCATGACTAAGAACTCCCTGCATATCAGCACGGCCTATGGTCCGGCTTGTACATGGAAATTATTATATGCATTCATCATTTAATTTGGATCTAATCACTTCCTATTAATAACATTAGACTCAATAGGGCCACAGTAATTACAGAGATTCAATATAAACTTTCCGCAGCCTCAGCACGGTGATCATCCGTATGGCTATCCATAGACATACTCGAGACTGAGAAAGGTACAATTCTCGCTTACCCTAGCGTAACTCAATTAACGACTGAGTTCAGATTCAATTCACACTTTTTCGAATCGCATTCGTAGGCCTTGGCTACAGTCGGCAATTCCATTGGCCTAGAGAAGCCCATTCAGTCTATTCAAAAAGGCACGAACTCAATTCGACGAAGAATGAAGTGAACGCGAAAATTTAAGGCCCAATTAAATGAATGGAACGAACTCCAATCTAATCAAGTGTGACGTAATGCGCGCATTGTAGTAGGTCTATATGGCCTCGGAATTGGGGGCTCTGGTTCGACTGATAAAAAGCGGCATAAGCTTAAAAAGGTCGGGAATCCGACGAGCACATAGCCTTTTAAGCTTAGCACACAGCCTAGCTTAGATCACGTGGTTCGGTAACACAACACGAGCACGCGAGGAAAAACGCGAAGACGAATCCTGCCAATGACGGAAGCCTGTGAAGATTGAAGAGCAACACTCCACGTATTTACACGTGCCGGAACAAAAAAAAAAGTCAAAAGGGGGAAGTCGACCTCCCGAAGCAGGAGCGCAACTCCTCCGAGAGCGGAGGTCTTCAGTCGACTGAAGAGGACGAGCGAGGGGGCTTGGCTATGCTTTCCATTCCCTCCCCCCCCCCTCCCCCCCAATCCATTTTTCTTCCGATCTTGCTTGAGTACGGGGATCGATGGCACGCGGGGGGAACGGATCTCATCGATCAATTTCTTCGTCCGAATTACCCCCCCCCCCCCCCCCCTTTTCTCTCCTTCCCTCTTCTTTCCCCCCACGACATTCCCAAGGCACTGAATTGGCCCCAAGGTTTCCCTGGGAGCTTCGCCTGTGAGACGTTCTGCCAACACGATCGATCGTGATTTCTTTCTCTCGGGGAATTTCGAGACCTGCATTCAAGCGCCTGAGTCTGCAAATTCCTTTCCACGCATTATCTGAATTCGCTCGCGAACACTTTGTGTAAAGAAAACGGAGTGGGAGTGACTCAGCGCGTCTTGAATATTAAAAAAAAGGTTAAACAAAAATATATATATATCGTACGTGTCAACGAGAGGGAAATCACCGTTACTCGACCTCGACATACCTGATCTCAAAATAAAAAGAAACGAAAACATTTAAAGCCGTGCAACGCTGACATGCTGACATATCACACCACAAGAGGTTAGACGCACTTTTCTAAGAACAACTGATCTCTACCGAGTCTCGTCCTGTAACTTCTATATCTTTACGTGTGTGCCGACTACGATGTTAGTGCAACCGTACGATTATTATCATAAGCTAAGGTCTCCGTACTCCTCTATGACAAACACGTTCCTGCGTGAGAGATTTTCTTTCATTACTCACAGAAGGGCAGCCGACACGGTCTGGGCGGCAGCTTGTTGCTGAAACGCTTTCCAGCTGAAACACGAAAAGGAAGCCAATCACATCGATCTCGGCGCATAGATCAAAGGAGAGAGAAAACGTCAGAAGCAGATTTTCGCATCTGGGATCCATCCATCTGAGACCGAGATGATAAATGACGAGTGAACCAATATCCGGTGGCAATTACCCGCGAGTTCGCGACACCTGAGAAACTCCATTTCCGAAACTTCGATCCAGTAGATTTCTCAACTCGGAGCTTTCCAGGCTCCAGACATCTCGGATTCATCTCGTCGACATCAAACGTGAAAAATGTCCCCCTTCGACGAATGAATGAATAAAAAGCCCCCAAGGCCCTGATAACGTTTCGAAAGCGCTTCAGTTGTTTTGAAGAAAAAATCCAGTTGGTATCTCTTTTTTTTTTCTTCAGTCACCTCGTTATGGCGCAACTGACCCGGATGAACGGATACGTCCAAGATTGACGAGAAGGAACGTAATTAATAGGTTCTAGGGAAAGATATCAGGCCTTCTTTTGCCTTGGCTTCAATTCGGACGAAGAAATTGATCGATGAGATCCGTTCCCCCCGCGTGCCATCGATCCCCGTACTCAAGCAAGATCGGAAGAAAAATGGATTGGGGGGGAGGGGGGAAGCAGCGGGCCCATCGATTCATGTGTGGATTAATGACGGCTTCCCTGATCCCACTTCAATTCTCCCGTCAGCGTTCCTTTTAAAATAATTCTATTATTGTGTCTATTTGAATTTCAAATAGGTTGGAGGAATGGCGAGAAAGAAAATATGCAAATCGCTCCAGAATTTTATGAACACCCGGCGAGAGTGATTCTAAATTTCAAGGCGAAAAAAAATAATATCGATTACCAGTTTCTCCGCGGTTATAACGAGCAATATAACTAATTAGCCCCCGTTAATCGAAACGCTGTGCTGCCGGAAGGTATAAATTGGGCCGTCCCTTCAAACGGTTGCAGAGGAAGGTGAGAGGAGCTCATGAATTTGTTGAATTATTTTATATTAAACTTGACCGACTTATCGGTTTCCACAGTTGGCCCGAAGGGATGTAACGAAGACTCAACATTCCAATTTATTACGCATCATCGCCATGCTGGAAGCTCTTTAACCCAATTCCCATTTCTCTACGAAGTTCGACGTATCAAGTGCGTTCCCAATGCACAACGACAGGATCCACTATCGCGAGGAGGCCCAGCGAAATCCAATGAGAATGGGCAAGGAAACGTAATAAAGGAAATGGAAGTGCATGGAAGTGGAAGTGGAAATGGAAATGAGGAAAAGGCGCGAGGACAATGCAGAAATCCCCCGACGCTCCTTGCTTCCCATTCATCCATCGGCTTCGCTGCATCTCAAAACCCGAGGATAAACATCCTCCCATCGGATAAGCCAGAAGATCCGGGTATTTCGGGGGGCTCATGAAAGAGGCACCAGTGGGGGGAGATTGAAAGTAGCGACAACGTAATCTTAAACTTTTTCATTAAATCATTACACATGAAAATCCCGACGAGTGAATCCTTCAAACATCTTCCTTTTTTTAACTTCTATTTCTCTAAATGGGGCAAGGGGAAGATCAAAGTTCCATAATACCTGAGACCCTGGGGAACGATGTAATGAGAATCCACTGACAGAATGAGGAATGCCTACAAGACTTTTGGCAAGCGTCCTCTTTGACTAATGATCAAAGCATTCATCCCATCCCCTTTTCTTTCAATCTCCCCTATGGCACACCCCCCACGATCATACACAGAAACGAGAATCGTCCCCCACATGGAAGATCCTCACTTCCCTGTACCACGTCGGCATTTTCCCTGCATGAAGAGGACTCAATCAGTCCAAGGGGAATGTTTTCGCCACTCCTATTGCTTTCCGCGGATGGATCGTAAATTTCCATCAACTGCGCACTTGCCGAGTTCGATCAAGGTCGAACGATGCGGAGGTGGAATTCTTCCCCCCCCCCCCCGATTCATGCATAAAAAGGAGTCAATAGTGAGCCAAAAAAGTGGGCGCCCTTATATCGACGGAGGCTTCATGCATTCCATCACATTTCCATATCCCGACCGAAGACTCAAAGAAACGATTCGTGCCCGGAACGATGACAATGGAATCATTCTTCCTTCAGTTCATCTCACGAAGAAAAATAGTCCCTTCTAAAGCCTTTGAAATTCCCTCGAGAACCTTAGAAAGTCTTCATCGCCATAAAGCATTTCGTATGAACCATCTAAGAACTTCTATTGGTCTCCACACACGTACATAATCATTTGTAATCATCAAAGGATTCAATCGTTCGGGGTCGAAATGGAAAAAGCAATTCTCGAAAGACGATGGTGGTTTCTCGGTGAAACATGAGGCAATATATCGAACCGGAAAGAGGATACATTAGCGTGAGATTCCGGAGGCACGCATCTTCGCGCAGCTTCCTCTTCTTTTTTTTTTCTAAAGGAGATCCCTCATGCCCAGAATAAATGGACTCGTCTTCACGTGACTCACTCTCTGGGGTTCCCACGCAGAGAAACGAAAACAGAGAACGAATATGGAAGGGTTCTTGCGTAGCACAGATTCGGTATGACAACCGTTACATAACATCAGGGCCTCAAACTGCTCGCAGGTCCTGATAACACACGTCACCGTGGCAAGGGCGCCGTGTTTCTCAATGCCAGTAACTACAGTTTGTATTCGCAATGAAAATCAGACTTCGTCAATGCCAGATCCTTTCAGCTGCTTCGATTGGGAGTGACGAGGTTAGAGAATCAGGTCGATTGGATGATTGGATTCCCGGGCATACAACATCGATCAAACCGAATAAAAACACATTCTCCCTTCTGTCCCTTTTATCGCGAGGGCAGTCATTGGAAAGAGAAGCTTCCCGAATTGCGAAACCCCTGAGTGCTTCATAGAAGCTTTCCCGTCGATGTCAGCGGGGAAAAGCACGGATTTTTGCAACGACATGAATTCCTCTTCATTCAAGCAGAAGACCTGAGAAAAGACGGCGCAATTGAAAACAGATTAGAAGGAGTGAAATGGATTGGAACAAAGCCGAAACGGCGCGCACGTAACAAGGTCTTCGTCCAGCAGTAAAAAAAAATGGCCTACGATGACGAAGGATGACTATAACGGTTATGGCTTCCTGGCTCCATTCATGATGAAATCGGTATGGCGTTGCAACATGCACACGACTTTATTACGAATAAAAAATTA